GTTTTTGACAAATAGTGTGAGCAGAAGGCGGTCAGCAAAACACTATTACCATTAGAAGTATTAATATAATCAAAAACACTAACAGAAAAGACCTTCCTAATATGTGGATTGTAGATATGGATGACACAAGTCATGTTGCTAACAATTTTAATGACAGTAGCCAGCAGTGAATGTAGTTTCAGTAAGTTGAAGTTAATTAAAACCTACCTACATACAACAATGACACAAAAAAAGATTGATTACTTGAATGTATATATATTTATCTTTATGATAGATTGGTAGGTGGTGTAAGTATTAAAGTATTCATGACAGCACAAAAAGTTTATATATGCGACTATTACTGGAGGGAGAGGGTGTCGTAATAACATTAGCCCCGGGTGCCACCAACCCTAGGGATGGCCCTGGTTGTATATAAAAGAAAAACATGAAGATGGCTAATAGTTATAAGGTTTTTTTGATGTGCAAGGAAAAAACTGGATTAATAAGAGTTTTTATAGCATGAAGGGACAAATACAGTAAAAGGATGCAACTAGTTAAATAAGAAACAAGCAAGAATGAGTTTTGGTTTACTGTAATAGAAATGATAGCTTGTTTGAGCTTCGGCCATAATTGTATTAGTAGAAAAAAGAAAGAAATGCAACCTTACAACAATGGAAGAGTGGCTTAAGTGGCAGATAAAGCAGGTCTAATTTTTTTTTATTTTTTTTTATGTTAATTCGCCTACCCAAGGCTGAAAATGCCACTACAGACGAGGAGGCTACTTAATTGTGGTTATAACCCTCTCTCAAATTTGTAACTCCGAAACACGAACCTTGACAAACAAGGCTGATGTGATAAGAATAAGAGGGTTTTTATTCATCAATATAGGAATACCAACATTTTTGAGTTTAGTTTTCAAACAAAAATTGCAGATTTTAGGTCCAAAATTTAAATCCATAAGCAACAGCAAGCCTTAAATTAGCTGCTTGTTTTAAGCAATCAAAAAGTGAAGATTTTTTGTCAACACAAGAGTATAAAGTTGAGTTGTCAACAAATAGAGCAATTTTAGATGTTAAATTTTCATGAAGATTGATAAGAAACAATACAGGAGCAAAGATTTAAGGGTACTACAAGATACTTTGTGATATCCTTCGAGTTACTTGAAATAAAGAAGAGTGTAGGTCTTCAAGAATAACTTTATTAATGCATTTAGTAAGAAATAATTTAATAATCTCAAAACTTTTATATAAAGAAATTAATAACAGAGTGAAGAGTAATCGTAGGATAGTTAGAGAGGTCAGAGTGTTTTAAAATTTTGGTACCACTTATTTAGCACTTTGTAAAAATTGAATATTATTAAATATTATATAATTAATAAGTTTAAATGTTAGACTTACTTTAGTTAATGAAGACTAGCCAAAAGTCTCTAAAACCTAACATCTGATAAAAGATACAAGATTTAGTTAACTGAGAATAACATATCTTAATAATGGATGGGACCTTTTTACATTGGCTACTTGGAATAATAAAAGTACATTTGTTCTTAAGAGAGATGTTTTTCTAAAAAAGATAAAATAAATGATCAATAAAGCAACTGCTCAAGTATGGAATAGAATGAAGATGAAAAGTATAAAATAGAATGAAGTTTGACTTAAAATTGAAATTATATTATGGACATAAACATATATGTTTGATATTTATTTAGATGCTGGCATCAATATCCTTTAATATTTATATAAACTTTATTTATATGGTGTAGTATTTGCAGAAAGAAAAGATGACGATGATCATCATAATCATAATTATTATGATCATAATGATGTTTATATATACATATACAAAATATAACATGAATTTTGAAGAAGAAAAATGTACTTTAGGATGTATAAATGTTTATGCAGCCTCGGTCAAAAACCCTGACCCGGCTATATCTTATCAAACCTAAATAATCAAGAGGCTTGTGTTTTTTTCCCCATGTAACACTTAATTATTAACTTGTTTTTAAGGGAAATTTTTTAGAAGATTTGTTTTCATTCTTCTATTAAGCTGTTTGTTTCATCAGTTTTGAAAAAATCTTTTAATTTTTTCCTATCATTAAGTAAATATATATATATATATATATATATATATATATATATATATATATATATATATATATATATATATATATATATATATATATATATATATATATATATATATATATATATATATATATGTATATATATATATATATATATATATATATATATATATATATATATATATATATATATATATATATATATATATATATATATATATATATATATATATATATATAGTTCAATTTTTTATTATGTATATGTTTTTCAGTTCTATTTTTACCATTACTTTCGATCTACATAAACTGTTATTTTTTCCTTTATATTTTATTATAATAACCATATATTTAATGCAAGGTTAAATGTTTTTTTTTTATTATATTGAATTTTTTTATCATTTTTTTTAGCTTGACATTTACGTTCTACCTACTTCATTATTTATTAGTTTTACCACTGTTGAAATATGGTTTTAATTTAGTAAATTTCTTGAACTGAAATTTACTTTATTGATCATCAGCTAATAGTTTTGGTAATAAAATTGATTTCAACGCTGTCAAGGTAAGAATAACTTTGTTTTCTTATAACAACATCAAACAGCTTTTTATGATTATTATCATATCATTGCTACTTTGTGTTAGTATATTGTATTTGTCATGGTATCAATAGTTTTTGTTATACTTATAGCAAGACTAAGATAAAAAAATTTTGTATGTTTTTAAATGAAATCTTTTATTAACACTACTCTCAGTAAGAATAGAATATTTTCCTTTAAAAGGGATATTAAACTAATACCAAGATACTTAATGAATAAACCTATTTAATGCCTCGTGAAAGTTTATCAAGTTAATTGAGATAACTACTTAATTTTATATTACTGCTGATTACTTATTTTTAAACATCCTTTGACATAGTTAGCCAATAAGAGTTGGGTAAAATAAAACAGACAATTTATTAAAATTTGGCATCACAAAAAAAGCAATTAAACAATTTATTTACTACTTATTAGTAAATAAATTTAATTATTACTCACAATGATAACAAAACAGCAACAAGTGCGTAATGCAAGTTTTTACGCTTGAGTGAAAAACCCTAATTTGCCAAGAAAATAAATTTAGAAAAAGGGACACTTGTATTCCAAGTCAGCTTTCAGGCATGGATTTTTATTTGCCACTAAAATAAGAAATAGATTGGGAGATACCAAAAGTTATAAAACTTTTTCATTACCTATTACCAAGGCAAGTATTGTTGGCTGGGTAATGGAAACACTAAAGTGTAGTATCTTGTAGGAAGGCCTTGTTTTAAAGCATTTTTATTTTAATTCACCTCCTCAAGGCCGAGAAGGCCACTACAGACGAGGAGGCTACTTATATGTGGCTATAACCCTCTCTCAACTCTTCAACTCACGAACACGAACCTTGACGAACAAGGCCGCTGCACAGAGAAACGAGTTGAGCGCGGTGCTACCAGGGACGTGGTGGGGATCGAAGTCGGAACCACTCGTTTATGAAGCGAGCGCTCTACCACTACACCACTACCGCATTAAATTTAACATATTAAATTTAACGATTCATTTATGCAAATGTTGAGAAAAAAAGAAATTTGGTAATATCAAACTTTTTTAATGCAATATTAAATTTAATTATTGAAAATAATTAAAAAAATAAGCATTCCATTAAAGTATTAATAAAAGAGCTGATAAATAACATTTAATTTGTTTTAAGGTAATTAAAATTATTGCAGTAATTTAAAAAAATGTCTAAAAAAAATTAACAGAATTTTATGTTGGCAAATATCGCGTTAAGCTATGCATTAAGCATTTTTTAAATTTAAAACAAGGCCTGCTATGGGTCTTAAACATTCAAATTATAGAAACTAATTTCAGACAAAATGCATCGGACTGAACTGTTCAATGTAATTAAAACCAAATAAAAAATAAACATATAAATATAATATATAACATATAAACATATAAAATAAACATACAAAACAAATACTTTTATTTGACCATTTAGAGTAAATTAACTTTAAAACGATTATTATTTCCATTTAACTATATTAATTAAATTTAAACAATCCCATCACTAAACCGTACAAGATTAAAATAAATTTAATATAAAAGGAATACTTACAGTATACCACATTATTTTAAACTAAATACTAAAAGAAAAACTATACTAAATTGTATATATTATTTAGCATATAAACTGAATATAAAACTAGTATGACAAATAGACCTTATAAATAAGTAGAAATATTATATATTCTAAGTTTAAAATTACACTATACATTTGAATTTAAATACACAAAAGTTAGTCTTAATATAAATGTTGTGTCGTTATTAAAACACTGTACTATATTTAAATATATATATTCTTATAAGCCATCTTTATTATACATTTTAATATCGCCACGTATGTATATATATATATATATATATATATAAATATATATATATATATATATAAAAACATTGTTTCTATTTGTCCGCATATGACTAAGGTTCAGGGCTTCACATCCCTGAAACGTATTGGCTTTTGCCCCCTTGTCGACCGTGTATTTCTTCGATCCTGGTTAGGCTCTCCTTTAGTAACACGTAGTTTGGGCATATCAGATTTATCACTAGTGCAAGGATCGATTTTCTCATTATTGATATGATCATACCGCATACTGTCTTCATAAGTATACTAAGCTCATTTAGGCGTTTGTTTATTTGGTCACAGTGTGCTAATGTACCCGAAGAATTATTCCTTAATATGATTGCAGTGTTTAGACCTGCCTGAGAGATGAATGAAGCAGGTTCAGGTTTGGAATCTGAACTTTGGCGGTATCATAATGGTGTTCCACTTTCGAAACTCATGGTGAGAGGGGATCTCGACTGCCTTCCCATCATCTCGGAAGGACTCCTTGATCTTCCTGCATGAGGTATTGTTCTGTAACTTAAAAGCTTAAATATCCGCATAATAAACCTTTGTCTGGTGAATAAGCTCTTAAACCCATCTTGACTGTCTCTACCATTCTTTCAGCTGCTCCATTAGGTTGAGGGTGGTAAGGTGGAGTCTTATAAGGCACGCAACCGATTTTCTTTAGCCACTGGTGTAAGGTGGTATCATGAAATTCCGCAGCATTGTCGGATACTAAAACCTCTGGAACTCCATTTCTTGAAAAAACACTTTGTAGTACTGCCTTTACAGTAGCCGCTTCACAGTTATTTACCTTAATAACTTCCGGCCATCCAGAAAAAGAATCTACTAAAATCAAAAACAGTACGATACCCTGTACATGTGCATGATCCATATGTACTCTACACCGAGGTTTATTTTCACTTAGCCATGTATGTAATGTCTTTTCCTTCTTCACTTTTATTTCGGCACATTTTTCACAGTTTTTCACATATTCTTCAACATCTTGACAGTAGCCAGGCCAACAGACTTCCAATTTTAATCTACATCGCGTTTGCATTATGCCACAATGTATATCATCATGGGTCGATTTGATGAAGATCTTTCTCATTGTCTTAGGAGGTACAATAAGATCACCATTACATACAATTCCTTTCTCGATAGTCAGTTTATTCCTAATAGATTTATAGGGTCTTTCTGTTACCGAGCATCTGCTCCAATTATATTTGCTAATTCTGGTTTTGATATCCATCAATACCCTATCATTTTTTGTTTCTTTTATTATTTGCTCAAGGTTCACGATATCTGACTAGACTAAGTGTATGAATGTTTCTTGGTCCTTCTCTTCATCTTGTGGTAGAAAGGACAATCTCAATAATGCGTCAGCATGAGGAATGTTTTCTTACTTTTTGTAGCTTATTTCGTAGTCAAATGCCATCATTTGTATGACCCATCTTAAAATTCTAGCGGATGTGACTTAGGGCAATTCTTTGTTGCTATCAAATATAAATTCTAATGGCCTGTAATCTGATATTAATTTGAATTTTCTACCCAACAAAAAATGCTTAGCTCTGTGAGCAGACCATACAATAGCTAACGCTTCTCTCTCAATATTAGAATATCTTGTCTCAGCGTCTGATAAAGTTCATGAGAGATACAATACCGGATGGCCATTCTGTGAAAGTATTCCATATATAGCTTTCTCACTAGCATCTGTTGTTAACTCTAGATCTTGGTTGATTTCATAAACTTTACTACAGGTTCTTCACAAAGGTTTCTTTTTAGCAAATTCAAATGCCTGTTGATGCTCTTTCCTCCATTCGAATAACTCCTTTCTTTCTTAAATTGTTTAAAGGTAAAAAATTTTCAGCATATTTATCAATGTGTCGACCATAAAAGTTTATTAATCCTATAAATGACTTGAGTTCCTTTTTATCATTAGGAGGATTTATTCCAAGTATTTTGCTGACTAAATTACGATCTGGGGTAACTCCCTTTTCTGACAGTTCATATCCTAAAAATGAAAGGCTTTATGTTTCATTCAATGACTTTCGTTTATTTATGCTCATTTCCGATTCCTTCAATTTGCTCAATATTTTATTCAAATTCGATTTGAGTTCTTCAGCATTTTTAGAACAGACAGATATATCATCTTGAAATATAATCGTATTGGGAATAATATCGCCAACAACAGATTCAATCGCTCTTTGAAATATCACACTTGCAGTCTTTATTCCATAAGGTAAACAAGTCCATCTTAATAATCCAATAGGGGTATTAACTGTCGTTATTTCTTGTGCCTCTTTGTCCATCTCAATTTGATGATAAGCTCCCTTGAGATCAATTTTAGCAAAATATTTCATCCCTGCCAATTTATAAAATACGTTCTCAATGTTTGGGATAGGATATGAGTCTGAGCATATTTTTTGGTTAACACCTATTTTGTAATTCGCACAAATGCGCAAACCTTCGTCTGTTTTTCTAACAACCACAAGTGGTGAAACCCATCTGCTTCCACCAGGAGGAACCCTTTGAAGCAACCCTTGCTGTATGATTCCAATAAGTTTATCTACCACTAGTGGTCTTATGTGAATAGGAAGAGGTCGAGATTCAAAATAAGTGGGTTGCGTGTTGTTTTTTTAATAGAATATTTGCTTTGTAATTAATTAAACGGCCCTGAACGATAGGTTCCATAATATTAACTAATTTTGTGGCGTTGATATTTAATACATCCATACCAATTAGACCATGATTTTTTGTACAGTCTACAACAATAATTCGTACGATATTCGTTTTTGATTCGGTTTCCAAAGTTGCATCAAATTCAACTAGGACTTTTATAACTGTACCATCAAACTGTTTCAGGCGAAGGTAGCATTTTTGTAATTTCAGTTTAGACATTAGTTCCCAAAAATTCTTTGGAATAATTGTGACTTGACTTCTGGTGTCAACTTGCATTTTTATATTGTAGTCATTAATTTTTACACTAATCTCTGAGTTTTTATCATTCATGTTAATGGAATACACACTAGCATCATCATTCTCTATTTCCTCTACTATTTTTTCATATTTAATGTTTGCTTTGCATACGTTTTTAAAGTGGTTCAGCTTTCCACATTTTTTACAACTCTTCCCAAATGCTGGGCATTTCCTAGGTGGGTGTTGAAGGCCACAAAACTTGCATTTAATTGTTCTTTCTTTATTTTTATCAATGTAATTAACTGAAGGAAGGTCTATGCTGTTTTCAATGTTGTTTTGTATACTAAAACAGAATATTTGCTCCAGTTGCCTGATAAAATCAATACATGCTCCTAGTTTAGGCGATTCTCCACTCTGTATCATTTCTAGAGCTTTAACTCTCTGATCAAAAGATTGGAGGCCATCAACCAATCTCATTTGAATCAAATCATCTTCCGTCGCTTTGGCCAATTTTTCGAAGTTGCAAAAGCGTGAAGCTCCGCGTAATCTTTGTGCATATGATACGATGTTTATATTGTTTTTGCTGTTTTAATGCTAAAAATTGAACTCTTTCAGCAATAATTAGTCGTTTTAGAGGCCTCAAACAGGACATAACAACAGTTTTAATATCATTGAACATCATATTTTCTAATTCTTCTGGATAAACCATAAGGGAAATCTTTGTAATTGCTTCAATGCCTGCTTTTGCCATAAATCTGTTATCTCATAGCTACCATTTATCTCATCTTTTAATTTCTTTGAACGTGCGGATGCTGAAAAGCATCTAATCCATGCTTCTGCATTGTCTGGATCATCTAAAGTCAAATCGGATCCTACTCGTAGCGTCATTGTTGTGTCGTTAATAAAACACTGTGCTATATTTAAATATATATATTCTTATAAGTAAGCCATCTTTATTATACATTTTAATATCGCCACGTATGTATATATATATAAAAACATTGTTCCTATTTGTCCGCATATGACTAAAGTTCACGGCTTCACAATAAATATAAAACAAAAAACTAAATTAAAACATATTAACTAAATGGAAATTATACATAACACAAACAACTTTTTCTAAACATATCAATATTACCATTTTGAACCAGACCATAAACCACATCAGATCACAGAATTCATACCATGAGGCATCAATGATGCGCATTTATAATGTTTATTTACTTTGCTAATAACATAAAACAAATGGTATCCATGCTCCATGGCAGACACTTTATGCATCACATTTATGCTCTACAGTAACTCTACTATAACCTTTCATTATCAAAATAATTAATTACATGTACTTTCCTAGGCTATGGTTTATTATTTCTGTTTATATTAACTACATATAACTATGATTAATTTTCATTATTTCTCTTCTTAGAGGCACTTTATTTCAACGGACATCAGTCCTTGTGTACTTTTATCTCAATCTGCTACACACTTTTAACTTGTTATGCATCTCTAAAGCGCTCACTGCTCAGTGCAGTTCTAATAAGATGCATTGCATTCAAAACAAAAAGTATTTACAAACATGCAGATTCATACTAATAAAGACATTAAATAACATATAAAACTATAACATTTAGAACACTACAAACACAAAACATATTAACTAACACAACTTACATAACATTGAAACAACACTTAATCATTAAATAAAACTCCCCTTTCATACACTACTTCTCAATACTGGACATCTGTCTAAATATTATAACTTATCTAGCACTCCCTTGCACTTATATAAAATATTTCTTCCTTCTATTAAGACTAACTTTAATAGCTTCCACTGCAAAACAATAGCAAAATATATATGATTATTATATATATATATATATATATATATTATATATATATATATATATATATAAATTATATAATATTATATATGATATTATATATATATATATATATATATATATATATATATATACATATATATATATATATATATATATATAATATATATATATATATATATATATATATATATATATATATATATATATATATATATATATATATATATGTAATATCATATATAATATTATATATAATATTATATAAATTATATATATATATATATATATATATATATATATATATATATATATATATATATATATATATATATATGTATATATATATATATATATATATATATATATATAATATCATATATAATATTATATAATTTATATATATATATATATATATATATATATATATATATATATATATATATATATATATTTATATATATATATATATATATATATATATATATATATATATATATATATATATATATTTATACATATATATGTTTTAATCTTTATATATCTCTACTAATATAATGACTTGGTGATTTGATAATTCGATCCCTATTAAAAACATTCACCAAACTAATTGCTATAGTACCATAATAACAATAGTAATAATAATTACCAGAGTACCATATTAACATAAATACCATAAGTAAATACCAAATAAACAACCAAACATTTTTACAACAACTCGATTTAGAGAATTCAATTGCACAACATATTTCTTTTAATAATTGTATAACTTTATTATTCTACTTCAATTCGTCAAAGTTTGTATAATAATAATTCCATAAGCGAAGCTTCTTTATTAACAAATTCAGCGTGGATGATCCAGAATAAGGTTTATAATTTGAACGCATGCGTAATAGCCACTAAATCCGTTCTAGGTCTGCGTTTTTTTGAAAATTCAAAACCTTATTTTGGATCATCCTAAAGAACGCTAACCCATTATTTCAACGGTTAAAAGTTATAGAGATTTATAATGGAAAAAAAATGTAAATACTGAACTTATACAATATAGAATTTTCAAGAGATCGATACTTTTCGTTTAACTTGGGCTACAATGCTCAAAGACTGATATTATTAAATGTAAATATAATACAATTTTTTTAAAAAAATGATCCATTTAATTATGTTGAATTTAATGCTAAGCGTTGTTTTTTAATAGAGCATCATGAATTAAAAAAGGAAATTGATAACTTTAAAAAAGAACTTTAGCACGAAACAAAAAAATAAAAATTTATATGAAAAATTAACTTCAACCACATCAGTTATTACTATGAAAACAGACAAATTTGTATATAAACATAATCTAAACAAATCGTGTTATTGCAATTTACTTGTATACAAACATTCATTTTAAAAATAATAGATCTTGCGACTATTATGCTGGCCTTACATCTGTCAATGTGTTTCATCAGTTAGTGCAGTATCACCATTAATCAAAAGAGATAAAGTGATATTAAAACAAACATTTACTTCTGTTTTTTGAAATTTAAAAAAATCCTTAACTACTTGGATCAAAATAAATGTAATGCAGCAAAGATGAATTTTTAATGATGCTAATACTTGGATTATTGACAGCTGATTTTGCTGACAGGTTTAATATATATTTTTAGGATTAGGGAATGCAATATTTTCTTCATTGTTGAAAGCTTCTAGCTCACTTTTAATCCACATGGTTTTTGTTCCAAGTAAAGATGTTATAAGACAGGCAATGCAAAACAGATTTTAGAAATTAAATTATTCAGACTAACACTAAATTTCAGATATAACAGAATTTATTATGGAAACACCTTAAAATTTTGACTTACAGAAACTAAAAGGTAATGAATACAAACATTACAACAATATATAAACATAAGTACCCGTAGCTCCAAATTCGTCAATAATTTCTTTAAAAAATTTCTAAAGCTTACAGAAGCTAAATTTCGGATAAAAAAAATTACATATCGCAACAACTATTTAGATTGTATTACAAAATACTCTTGTATAATATATGATTAAGGCTTTAATATTAATTTTTTAATACAAATGAAGTGATTTTAATAAAATCCATTTTTATCAGTCACTTTAAAAATATGATGAGTATTTGTATAAAGATAATTAAAATTTCAAACAATAATATTAGCTTTACTTGTTGTTTTTTAGGTGAATCAAGTGCAATTGATGGAATATCTTTAAAATGCTGAGGTAATCAAAATAATTTTTAATTATTCAGAAATTTTAAGGATTAAATTATTTAGCAAAAAAATTGTTTGATAATGAGTTCAATTTAAATTTAAAAAAAAAGTTAATATTAGTTCTCGCATAATTAATATCAGTTCTCTTATCTATTAAAATTTAGAATATTTTCCAACAATTTTGTGACCTCCATGAATATGAAGGGGAAAGGTGGAAATATGCTTTAAGAGCACTAATTTATATGGTGTAGTGAAAGGTATACCTTTATAAGATATGTAAAACTTTTTTATTCTCATTTTTTTATGTTCAAAAATTTCTCCTTGTGTTTTTTTTTTTTTTTTTTTCCAATTCTTTTTTATTAACAGCTTCTTCTATTAAATACGATAGAGCGACTGAAACTTTAATTGATGGCATTTTGTCTAACTTCTAAAAATGCACTTCATTTCGAAAAGGTGGCGGAAAAGAAAAAAATTTGAATCGATTGATATAAATTTATATTTATAAAAATCAATCTAAAATTTCTTTATTGAAATATTTACATATATTTCAATAAAGAAATAATTTCTTTTTGTCTGCTAATATTTTTTTTTTTTTCAGTGTTAATTCAACATTACAAATTAAAACTCAATTATGAAAAAAGCCTAGAATTGAGTTGATGTTTTAAGTAAAATAAGAAATGCCCAAAAAGTAACTGATGTAATATTTTTTTTTTTGATAAAAAAAAAGTTCTAATAATGTTTAAAATTGGTATTAATATTAATGTTTATTAGATGAAGATGAGTAAAAAATAAGTAATGTTTATTAGATGAAGATAAGTAAAAAAATAAGTTACAAGTTATTTTTTGGTCTTGTAAATTGTTTAAATGATAATTTATTATTTATCAAAATATTTTCCTTTTTTAATTTTTGTTGTTTTTATATTTCAATTAAAAGTAGATATTATTGTGTCATATATTATAAGATACCTTATATTATACTATTATATTTTATATTAATAATGAGTATTTTTGTTTTTTTGTATTTCTATTTTTTTTCAATATTCCATAATTATCTTATGTAGATGTTTATGTTTTAGCAACCTAGTATTCTTTCATTATTTGTCTTGGTTATTGAGCCTTAAGTTATTTGAGCATAATATATTCAGATCTCTGCTGAATAATAGAGTAATAAATAAATTAATAAAAATATGTTTAATATATAATAAATTTATAAAATAAAGAAAATCTTATCTTTGCTAATAATGTCTACTAATATTATTGTTTAGCAAGTATCATGGTTATAAAATGTTCAAATTTAGCTAGTTTAATTAGGCCTGTTAGTACACTTATATTATGGTTTCTTCATTTTATATTAGCTCATGTAATTTTTTCAAAATCGAATATGCGGAAAGGAGCTGTTTGGAATGAAGATTTACAAGAAGAAGTAATTCCATCTAATTGGATTAGTGATAAAACTGTCGGCTTCCAGGTACCAAAGCATTGACTGCACTAAAATGCAGAGAAGAATTGGCTTAAGTTTATACAAATAAAAGCTAAATTCTCTTCAGGTATTACATCTATATATTACAATTATTATTTTTTAAATAATGTGGTAAGAAGAGTTATTTTGTTGATACAAAATATATAACTATTTGTATAACTATTTCAATTCTAAAAGAAAGCAAACAGTTTTGTGAAAATTATAAATTCACAACTACAAAAGAAAAATGTGATAATGAGGATGTTGACAAGTGGATGCAAGATTTGCACACAAGTGGAAACTTGGATGCAAATTTTCCACTTGTGTGGTTTGGATGGTTCTCCACAATATAATATATCTCCACAAGCATAATATTAGATTTACTTCATGTTTTTTTACAGAATAAATCAATTACAGTTAATTGGTGGAATTACCTCATTTATAATCAGGGTGTCTGCAGCTCCTTTAAAATCCTCTAAAGTCCTTTTTTTTTTTTAAACAAATTCTAAAATCCTCTATTATCTTCTAAAGAGGTAAAAATTTGATCAAAGCTCCTCATTAATTCTTCCTTTTTTAATTTTTGATGGAAGTATATTGTTCAAAATACCCATTCTCGGTCTGCAAAACTGGTTAACGCCTTAAAGTGCATGGAATTGTAAAAAATTGCTTTAGAAAATGCATTCTATTTAACATAACAAATGACATTATTTGATCCCTGTCCAAGCCCCATAAGTGTATAAACATAAACGTTAAATCATTAATAAATGGCCACATAAAATTTCTTATAAAAATTTTATGTGGCCACCCCGAAAATTATATTTCAATACTAGAAATGTTTTATATTTTGATTATTAATTTATTTTTAATATATTAAAAAGGTTGTTTTAATTATATAAATATTTGAAAAAGTTATTAATATCCAACTAACAATTATATTATTTTTTAAAAATTCAGAGTATTTTCGAAAAGTTATATGGCCTCCATGGAAATGAAGGGCAAAGGTGGAAAAATATGTTTTAAGAACACTAATCTATATGGCGTTGAAAAAGATATACCTTCATAAGTTGTAACACTTTTCCATTCATTATTTATTTTTTAAATCTTCCCTTTTTGATTTTTTTAATATATTTTTTTTATTTACAGCTTCTTCTATTGTATTCAATGGACCAAAAGAACCCTCGGTTAATGGAACATTGTTTGACTTTTTAAATTACGCTTTATTTCAAAAAGGTGGTGGGAAAGAGAAGAAATTTGAATAGATTTTATTCAATTACATGTTAATATATGTAATATTTGAATATGTATTTTTGAATAAAACAAGTTTTATCTCTTTCTTTAATCATACCTAGCTGTTTTAACTAAAATAAACTGAAAAAGTTCTAAATAGTCTAAGTATAGACTATGAATAGATTTAATATTCATTATATACCTTGATAATGTACAGCAACACTAATGTACATGCATAGTACGTTTTGATGGTGATCATATTTTGACGCACATAGCACGTTTACATACATATATACATTTTGACATACATAGCACGTTTTGATGGCGAAAAAGTGTTTTACAGTCGTTTAACGTTGATAAATCAACGTTAAAAAAACTATCATTTTAAACGTTGTATCAACGTAAATTCAACGTTGTTGTAACGTTTTTTCGCGTCGAATCAACGTTGATATAACGTTTGAATCTAACGTTGATTTAACGTTGATAAATCAACGTTGAAAAAAACTTTCATTCTAAACGTTAAATCAACGTTAATTCAACGTTAGGTTTCAACGATATTTCAACGTTATTTGCCGGCTGGGTACCCTCACCCTTTTTCATTGAAAGGGGACGCCCCCAAAGTTGTAGAAATTTCATCATAAATCATATTATTTGATATCACTTTTAATTTCTATAAGAAAAAAAAATGCAACTTGGCAATATAAGTATTGAATTTATATAATATAATGCCATTCATATATATATGTAATATAAACTTGTTAGTTAGGCAAATAAATTAACTTATTATTTTTTAATAAAAATCGCCGCGTAAAAGAGCTTAAGATCTCCTACTTCTGTTTTTAAAATAAATTTAGCGTTGCGTAATTTATGAACAATCCCTTATAACATTTATATGAAGTTAAAACAAACACTTGTAAAATGACACTTCTTATTTGCTTTAGATAATCTAATAATTTAAAATTTAATTTAAATGGTTAAACAACGTGTTTTAAATTTGATTGGTTAGATTCTTAATTTTATACAAAATTTTTATCAGCTAGCTCTAACTCGGAATTAAGAATTATAAAATGAAAGAAGCAAGTACGAATACCTCAGTAAGTTAATATTTTATATTACGATTATAAAATATAATGTTTATATTATACATTAACTATTTAGATAGTATTTGACGCATTGATTATTAAATTAGGATATATATAAGCGTATAAATTTCTTAGTGGAAATCGTTATGTGCTGGATAGTTTAATTATATATTCTTAAGTTAATAAATTAATTAAGTTATTAACTTTAGAAACGCGGTATTAACTTAAAAAAAATAAACTAGGAAAAAATCATACACCCGCAAAAAAAAAAAAGTATAAAAAAATTTAATAACATTTTAGGTTTCAAACTCTATAAAAAAATTTTTAGATAAAAACTTTTAATAATATTAGATTAAATTATTCAAAAGCGTTAAAATACCTAATTTACCAATATAAAATTAAAAAAATTTCAGTGTAATATATTAAAATCGTTTTATTAATTCATTTAATACATATGTATACATTAACAAGATTCAAATTATTTCTTCGGTGATAATCATCTCAAATCAAAATAAAAAGTAACAAAAACAAAATTAATAAAAAAATCAAAATTTGTAATAAAAATATAAATTATCCAACAAAATAAAACAAAATTTTTATCTAGTCAAACTTGTGAAACATAAATAACAATCAATTAGTTTGTTATTTTCGTTTAAAGAAACTAAATTTAACGAGATAAAAACTGTTCTATTTTGTTTGAGAAAAGGCCACACCATCGACTTAAATGAGAGCATAGGCAACGACTTGTAAACTTTTTGCTGCTTTAATTAAGGCAGTCTATTATTTTGTTCCGTTTTTATTTAAATAATATGCAGGAGCGTTCCGAAATAATTTTAAAGGAAGGGGGATAACGCGTCTGTTTTTTGCCAACTAAAAGCCAAAACGACCGCTAACTTATCTTTAAAAAAAAAAAAACGACATTTGTCGACTGTCAACTATAAATCAATTTTTCCGACTCCAGTGTGAAAACTGCCGACTAATAAAATTCGTATGGGGCCTAGACAACCTCCTACGACTACCCCCCCCCCTAACTTGGCATGGCTTTTTTACTTTAATTATACGAGTAAGTTAATTTTTATCAAAAATTACATAAGTAGTTTTAATTGTTTTATGTAAATTTACATTTCCGTATAAGTAATTTTTTTGAAACAACTTTTACTTTAAAATGTATGTTTTTTTACTTTCAAAAGTAAGTTATGTAAAAGAAGATTACAAAAGATACATCAAAAAGTAATTTACTTTTAAATGTAAAAGTCACGTGAAAAGCTTTTTAAATTTTTACATTTAAAAGTTAATTACTTTTGAAAATTACATTACATAATAAAAAAGTTCCTCAAACTGTAATTTAAATTTACCTATAAAAGTAACTAATTAAAAAAAATTATATTAAAAAGTAACTTACATAGAAAATTACATAAAAGTAATATGCTAGCAAATGTAAATTAAATTTAATATTTTTAACAATAATATTTTTTAAGTAGGAATTTTATATATTAAAAGTAATGACAAATATTTATTAAAAATAAGTTATATAAAATAAAATTTAAATTACATAAGCTTACATTTTATATAATTTGTAAAGTAATTTATATAAAGTAAGTAAATAAATTTACTTATATTTTGCAAGAACTTTGACAGGATCTTGTACAATATGCAAAAAAGTAAAATTTTAAGGCACCAAGGCATTTAGTTTCCGGCAACATTTGATTTGCACGGTTTTAGGTATTTCTTTCCAGTAAAGTTTGAAAACATCAACAATAGGTTTCCGCCCATGATTAAAGCTCTCTCTAGTTCCGGTTCATCATAGTTTTAGCTCTAATAACCATTCTCTGAATTGAACTATCTCAAAAATGTTCACTCTCTGGCCAACCATTTGAAAGGTCTGGAATTTAGACAGCTGAAAGCTAAAACAAGGCAGTTAGCAGAATGCGCATACACTCATGGGAGACTCAGAAAGAGCAGTTTGTTTGAAAGGAAAATTGACATAATAGTTAGTACTTTTTAACTAGTTTTTTGCGTAAATGTATTTATTATTTAAAAACGAAGGAGAGAAAGTTTAAACTAGTCCTGAAATATGGGGGCTATAACATCATACTCTAAAGATTAAAGACCCCCGAAATTTTAAGGAAGAAGCTTTATTTTGTAAAGATTTTTTGCCATTTTCATACGAAATATGTCCACCTGCTAAAGAATATCAGATGACTTCAAAAGTCTTTGTTTAAGCAACTACGGTACTTTTATATGGGCATGAAAAATTTAGAACTTTTCACGAAAATATCTTTATCTGCGTGTAGTATCAGTGGCCTAGATACCGTAAGGTCATTATAAGCAAAACTTACGGCCCCACAAGCAACTAAACCAAGAGCCGCAAGGTTTCGGAGCCCTAAGATATATTTAAAGAGTTTTTTTTTTTATTTTAGAAAAGTTATTGTTTCAGAGAAATAGAAATTAGGTACCTTGGCCACGTATGTCTACTCACCAAAAATACTTTGCTGCGCCATTGTGTAATATACGTATAACCCGAGCTATCGCTAAGCAATTAGATTAAGAAATAGTATTAATCTACGCATCCAGTGATTGGAGGCTGGGTAAACAAAAAATACTATAAATATTTACCATCCCTAACCCAAATGGTAGGGCATCAAGTTAGTAATTTTTATTTTTTTATTTTCTTACACTAAATTTAAGTCGATAGGTCTTAAAATTCAAAATTCAAAGGTTATGATTATATAAAGATGACACCCAACCAAACAACCTAGGTGGTTGTTTCAACATTTTCCTAAACATTCTAATGATATATAAACAAGAACATACTTAAGTTTGGCACTTAAGTATGTTTTATTTGCCAAAAGTATATTTATTAACTAAAATTATTGGTTTTTCATAATTATTATAATATTACATCTCAAAATTTACGCAAGTAGACATCATTAAATTATTGGTTACCATAAAGTCTTGTTTGATGAGTTTAATGAGTTTAATATGGTTTTTAACAACACATTAAAATACCTCATTTGTACGTAACTATTAATAGCACTATATAGTTTAAACCTGTCCTATATCATCGGGGCTACAACATAATGCCCTGAAGATTGAATTTTTAAGAAAACTCTTTATTTTTGTAAGGATTTTCTTCGAAAAAAGTCTACCTGCTGAAAAATATCCTTTGACTCCAAGACTCCTTCAAATCTAAAAATCTTGGTTAAACTACTACAGTAGTTTAAACTAGTACTTTTATATTTTTAGATTTGAGCAGCCGTGACGCAGTGGTAGTGCACTTGCCTTAGAAACAAAGGATCTTTAGTTCAAACTCTATCTTTAAGGAAGTTAAGCGACATCGGTTAGGAAGGAGGCATGAACTTCCTCATCCGCGGTGCTCTGTGATAAGACCATAAGGACTTTTTGGGGCACCTAAATTTAATTAATATATGGGCATCAAAAATGTTGAACTTTTAACGTAAACATCTTTATCTGCGTGTAGTATCAGTGGCCTAGATACTGCAAAACCAATATAAGAAAAACTTACGGTCCCTCAAACAACTGAACCTAGAGCCGCAAAGTTTAGGAGCCCTAAGATATTTTTAAATAAGTTTTTTTATTTTTTTTAGATTATTATTCCAGAGAAACAGAAATCGGGCACCTTGGCCTCGCCTGTCTAATGAAAAAATATGCTTTGCCGCACCACTGTGCAATATACCTATAACGCGAGCTGTGGCTAAGCAATGACCTAAACGTGATTGGAGCCTACAAAAAAAAAACAACCTAAAACATTTACCATCCCATTTACAAAAAAAAAACAAAAAAAAACACAAGAACACGCTTAAGTTTGGCACTTAAGCATGTTTTATTCACCAAAAGTATATTCATTAACCAAAATCATTGTTTTTTTATAATTATGTTAATATTACATATTACGTTTACGCAAGTAGACATCATTATATTATTGATTACCATAAAGTCAGAGTTGAAAAATCAGTTTAATATGGTTTTTAACATCATATTTTTAACAGCACATTTATAATATTATTAATAATACTATTAATTAAAGATGCTGATTAAGTAATTCTAGTTAAAGATGCTGATTAAGTAATTCAAATCGATTTGGTAAAAAATGGAATCGCCGCATTTTCAAATTATGAAACCTTTTTACATCGCTTTTAACGTGGTATAATACCGCGCAATACTTGTATTTAAATCAATTTAAAGTTAAATTTTGTATTTTGTTTAATTTACATTTTCATGGATAACATTTTTTTAAATCATTTTATTTTAATGTTAAAAAAATAAAATTCTTATATATATGTTACAAAAATAAAATATTTTTTTTATATATGTTAAAAAATAAAATATTTCTTCTGTTTTAGTATGTTATTTTAGTAAAATATTTATCTTTCTCTAAAATAAGATATTAAAAATAAAATATTTCTTCTGTTTTAGTATGTTATTTTAGTAAAATATTTATCTTTCTTTAAAATAAGATACTAAAACAGAAGAACTAGGTTTTTCAGCTACATATATAACAATTATTTAGATGTATACCCAAACGTTAAATACATATATTAAATAACTTAAATGCATATATTAATATATAATATAATACATATATACATATATTAGTATATAATATATAATACATATATTAAGATATACGATATAATAACGTTAAATACATATATTAAATAACGTTATATTGAAAAACGTTAAATTCTGATTTGTTTTACTACCGTCCCATTAGTCTTCTTCTTATCATAAGCAAGGTATTTGAATCTTTAATTAACAAACACTTAATCTCTCATCTTGAATCTAATAACTTAATTATTATCATCAACATGGATTTTGATAATCTTGTTCTACAGCTGGTTTGCTAACAGTAATAACCGATAGGTTTTATTGTGCATTAGATAAAGGTGGAGAATTTAATGCCATTGCTTTTGACATTTCCAAAGCTTTTGATAAAGTTTGGCATGCTGGTCTTCTCCATAAGCTTTCTTCTTACGGTAACATCTTTTAGT